CCTACATTAGTGAAGACGGTACAAAAAGTATAAACCTTCTTACAGTATTCCTTACGTAATAGAGCCTACCTAGAAGACTAGAGCGAACTAAGGGCTCATAACTGTCAGACATGAAAGATGACGCCGTTGGGCTGACTGCAGTCTAACAGTTATTATATAGCCCCGCTTACGTTCAACATGAAGTGTGTCGATCGAACTGAGCATTGACATGCATCAATGTGAAGTATAGTTCTATAGGAATTGACTCAAAATTAAAGTCAAGTAATACTGTACTCTTGTTAATTTCACTCATATCTGGCTATAATTAACTACAACTGAAGTTGAAAGGCAACTATACAATAGGGCATATTTGCTAATGCTAACCACGGATTACTTAGCTGCTGGTGAGTCTTAGAGGATGAAGAAGTGCTATTCTCAATCGTCTAACCCTGGCGTGATTTGCTTATACCCCACCTTGATATCTACTAATGGCAATCTCTATCCCGTAATGTTCCTATTATAAGGCAGGGTTAGTCTATATATGTGGAGTTTGCACGAAATTTCAATGGCTTAGAGGAAAATTCTCTAAGACATTGAACGGCGTGTCAAAGCCGGCGTTTCTCCCAAGTCCCGATGATGAGGTGTCTGTGTCTTCGAAGAAATGAGAATGGTTTAAGCTAGTGTGCATAAGCCAAGCTCCTTACCATCGTGCTGCCCCGAATCACGATCTGTACAATTATGAAACATTGGACCCGTAAATATACCTAACATAGGTTATCACCGATTAAACGGCCCTGCGACCTTCCAACACAGGGCCAGGTACTTAACTGGAATGGATCAAGGAGGAGGGAACATGTTACCCTCTTTCGTGACGCGTAGAACCTTGCACTAGAGGTATAGGGGCTGGCTACAACAGACCTAAATATCTTACTAGATTTACTGCGGCTACTTTATTTCCATATTCGGTTTCTAGCTAGCTCTAGAGGGAAATGCGTTGTTATGCTTATACATGAGTCACTTAATACCTCAATTGAGAAAATCTCCAGTGGTCAGTATGGTTCAAGCCGACAGAACGTCAATTCAGATTTGAGATGTCTAGAGGTAATCTCCAAAATGTATGGGCTTCGTAGATAACGCCCTGATGACTTGAATTACCAACTCCCCAACGAGGCATCCTCCCGCTAAATCCTACTGATCCTCTGCAGACTACAGGTTCGGAGCTCCATCACCAATACCGTCGTCATTGTTTGTCGGTGATGATCGTAGCCGCTACTCGGGATCGATGGAGTTTAGTTGCTCTGTTACTAGATGTGAGCTCATGAAAGGGGGTTGGCAGTTTTGTTCTTGAGATACATACGCAGCAAGAGCAAGACTCGCTATATGGTGTCAGGGTTAGTGTCCGAGTTTCACTGTTCAGGAGTCTCAAATCGAAAGAGATGAGAATATAGGGCAGATGCTTACCAAGTCGAGCAAGAGCAAGTGTTGCAACCACAGCCGGCCATTTTGAATTGTTTGAGAAGCTGAATAGAATCAACGAGTATTCTTGCGGGAAGCTTGAAAATAGGTAGTATAGCAGATGCTTTGATGTGTGATATGTGCTGATGTGTGCTGGATTTCAATAAAAACTCCTCTGCTCTGGAGAATTCGCCAGCCTTTTATATTTGAAGAAGAGCTATGGGCACCAGCCTAAGGGGATAAACATTCCATGTCACGCTACTCTCACGTTCAAATTTTCAGATCTCAGCTATCCACGCCGCCTAGACGAGGAGAATCCTCCAGACTAGGGTAGCCTCGTGGCGATCCAATGAGATACAAACCTGTGACATATTCTTTTGAGATAATAGTGGGGGATCTTCCCTCGTGATAGTAAATGCCTCGGCTTCATGGAAATAAGCTGTTGGTTTGGGTCGGAGAAAGCCAATGAGGTCAAGATGAACTCTACTAGTAGTCTAGATAGCCATGACCAGATGCTGTTCTAGGCTTCTAGCGTGGGGGGGATCAAAGGATCAGCTTACTTGGAGGGTAGACGCGTGTTGGAACAGCTGATATTGATCTTCAGTTTGGGTTTTTGGCTCTAGCGGGCTAACCGCAAGTCTGGGCACCCATGCCTACACCGCGGCGTTGGGGTAGCCAACATGAAAAACAGGTACATTCCGCAGGGGGATTGACATTCAGTGCAAATGAGGAGGGTGATGGATAGGGAGGTCGGGTACGGCTAGGATCGGTCGGGCCATACAGCTCACCTAGGTCGGTACAATGCTGCTTGGCTCCTCATCACGGGAGACAGTATGTTCCGTTCCATTCCGATAGAATGCTGCCTTCGAGACTACGATACGTGGGGCTGATCCCTCTTGTCCTTTTATTTGTGCCTTTGAACGCTTTCATAGCGAGGAAGAGGAAGTCGGATTTGCGAAGGAGCTTGTCTGGAGTATCCGGCAACCGATGGTTGCGGTAGGTGACTCATCCTGGATAGGGAGACGGATTGTTCTTTTACTTTTCAATGAAGAAAGGTTTAATCTACCATCCGTCTTTACTTATAGAAAACAGCGAGGCCATTCGGGTGCTGTGGCTGAAGCACGTCTGTGGACATCAAGGTCCTCACAACAGCGACCATCAAGGTTCTCATTACTGTATCATCGGGCATAGGCCGCCAAGGTTCTCAGTGAGTTAGTCGAGATTGTTCTCTATCGTTGGTCCTTGATACTGTCTCATTTTTATTGCTATAGATCTTGCTGCATACTAATGAAGTCTGGGCCATTGTTGTTAATATACTCTGTAATAGTCACCGGATTACCAGCTAATGCAACACTTCTCGCTGTATGCTAACTAGCCCTAATGATAACTACTATCGTAGTATCTGGCGTTTAATAAACCTCCATACTTCTAAGCCGTTCCTGTGACAATTTAAACTAATCTATCTATCCTAGTCAATAGCTGTACTAAGTTGACATACACCTACCTAGCATGATGTTTCGTTAGAGATTGGACTCTGCTGTTCGACTAACGTATTCACACTGTGTACCACTCTTCCTGTATCTTACAAATCTAATACCCATTGAGTTGTGAGATTATGAGACCATTGTAGTCATTAGTACGGCTTTACAGAATAGACGTAGTCCAGCTATAATAAGGCGTCTAGGGACACCCGAATTCTCAGCGTTCAGAACTAGATCGAAACACTGAATGAGCCAGAACATGATGCCAAGTTCATGAGTTGAAATGAGAACATTGGGCTTTTTGTCAAGTTATATGAGCAGCGGTCAGTAAATTACTCGAGAGAACATGAAAAAGAAATAGGAACCTGCATACTTATCCAGGTTTCCGTACTCTGAATCCACCTAGCCTTTCTTTAGACACAGTACTGTTTACATTTCGTCCCGATGTGGAAAGTCTGTCTTACTCTTGGTTAGACCATTCAAGTGGTTAGACCATTCAAGCAGATACTCACAATCCCCAGTCCGTGACTGACTGCACTACCGGTAGTGCCACTCATGGCCTTGTCCTCGTAGCACTGGACATCTCGTACAGATGTTCAGAGTAGAAGACACCAGCCAACCTTTCTTGCGGGCCAGTCTGTTTTGCTGTAGTTAAAGCCAATAGATATTTAGAAGAGCAACCAGATACATCAGATCGAATGCAATTTAAATCTACTGGAATCATCACATGAATTTTGACCTAGCGTAGGTCAATCATTCCCCTAGCCGCCCTCATCAAACCAAGACTCAGAACACATGCGGCTTCATACTCGCGGGTTATCATTCGGACTGTTGGAATAACTTTTTCACGGGAATACTATGCTGCGCTTCGTTTTCAATCAAGTTTCTATACATATCTTGAAGCTGAATCGCCTCGCATCGATTCACGACGCCTACATCCGCTGACCTATAGCCTTTAAGGGACTCTGAGTGCAAGCGAGCTGTAATACTGCGAGGCAATTGCTCAAATAATCTGGTGGTAATACTGGCTCTGGAGAGCCTCCTCGCGAACTCAAGTAAATCGACCCGAGGCGGCAATTAGCGCACAGGGTACTAATGCATGGTGCTCACAACTCAAAGAGGGCCTCACCAGAATCAGAGGTTAATATATGTATACTGCACCTATGATGGTATCTGCACAGTATAGGACCATTCGCGAAGATAGCACGTACAGCGGGCCTAAACGCTGAAAATTGCTCACACAGTTGTGATTGGAGTGGAATTTTTGTTGGCTTGAAACTTGGAGGTGGGGTCGTTCCTGGAGAGTTAACTTGAGGGTCCTTTCCAAATACTTAGCGTTGCATCCTGTATAGCTGCTGTTGGAGCCGGCAGCATTAAACATTGGCAAAAAATATATGCATATTACCAACAAGATGTTACCAACAGACCTGTCTGTCCCACACCTTCATGCACATAAGGAGGTCTTCCTACCTCACTCTCAAGATGTAGATCAGCTGAATGTAACGCTCATATACCTTTCATATCGGAATTGTCGAAAGTTGTGTTTCCAGGATAGAAATACCGCATGCCTAGCAGCTCTTAACCTGCTTTGTCCCTCTCTAGTATCATCGTAGCATGGAGGTTGACACGGAGCCCGATCAACTTCCGCTTCTTATTCTAATTCCTATCTCGTGATCATGGCATCCTCTCGAATTGTTGAGTTGGCAACTAGAATTGCGAGCAGTACTAATAAGGTCAATGATTATTTATTAAGTCACAATCTGCCCACTCCTACATTCGATATGGATGGCCCTCTGGATAGCTTGATCCCTAAGCATGAAGTCGACGTTGAATCAGCTAGGGTCGCCATTATAGACGACACCCTGGAATTGCGACGTCTCGTTCTTGGTCCACGAGACTATCTCATGAGCTATTCTGTAAATGAAAAAAAACTCATATGTTTTGTGAAATTAGCACTCGTACCAAAATAGAGCACCGTCCCGGATCTGGGGTAACCAACATGGGTGCCTACCTGCATGTGAACCAACGATGCTGGCGAAGCACAGCTAGCTTGGCAGTGCAAACTCACTGATTGTAATCGCTCGGTGAGCGTTTTCTTGAGATTTTCCATGTCAACCCAATTATTAAGTCGATGCTTTAGAAGCACGCCGAGATTTTGCTCCAGTCTTTGGCGTCTTCTGATTATCACAAGCCCCCGGCTATGGATCACGACAGACCACCCCCACCACAAGAGCCCCTAAAATTCACTGCAAGCGCTAGTTCAATTGCCGAAACCGGCGATGCGCTATGTGACGCAGCACGCGATACCATGAGAAAATTGGTTTTAACAGTAACACCAGAGACCGCGTCGTTCCAGAATGTTATGCGCGTACTCTTAGAGCTTGAAAATGAATTTCAACTCACTTCAAATGTTATCGGCATATACGCGCGTGTCGCACCAGATGCCGACCTCAGAAGTGCAGCCGCCAAAGTTATAGGCAAGATATCGCAGTTTCTAATTGAAAATAAAGCAGATAGAGCTATTCTGCGCTTAGTGGAAGCGGTCTTTCAGAAGCAGTCTCATGACAAGACGCTTGATTCAGAAAGTCGCAAGGCGCTAGCCGAAGAGAGACGAAGCCGCCAGCGCAGCGCAATCTCCTGCCCGGATGGTAAGGATGAAAGTTGCCTCGGGCGCATTCAGCGGCGACTAAAGAATGTCGAGGCAGAGCTCGTAGAAAATCTGGACGAGCATCAGCATTGCCTCTGGCTCACTCGAGAGGATCTAAGTGGCGTTCCAGAAGATATCTTGAGGAGTATGGAACGCGGGACCGGCGAGCTCAACGGCTCATTCGGGTTGGATCTCAACGGAATGCAAGCGCGACTGCGAGAGAGCATCGTGAGCTCTTCTGCTACGAGGAGGACAATTTACTTGGCAACTAGGCGAGTGTCACTCAGCAACTGTGAAGCAACTTTCACCAGGAAAATATTGTCGAGCTTCTTCTCAGCCTCATTTTCGGGATTGTCACCTTAATCAATACCCCTAACAAAGAAGTTCTCGTTGTGTATACTCTTTCATCTTCTCTCCAAGTAAAGCCCCCTCTGATTGGTAGAAATAAAAGTGGGGAGAAGCTTGGAAAAGCAAACAAGACCCAACGCCATGTTTCTTCTCTTCCAACCACAGTACATACGAATGAATCCCATCACGACTGACCTCGCATTCTATCAGCATTAAGATTGAGTTGTCAGAATTGAGGCCGCGCGCAGCTTTTGAATGCATCTTCACCAAATCACAAACTTAGCATTTACAACACCATATTAGCCATGTTGCCACATGAGCTCGACCAAAAGTCCTGCGAAAGCCTCGAATCCGAAGCTATCCTGCGCATCACATCATATCATAGGAGAGACTTTGACGCCAAGGTTGTCACAGCAGAACCTGGACAACACGATCACGCTCGTTCGTCCCTGTTCAAGAGTTTTGACGAATCCGCAAGCTCAGGCCTGGGCCGACTTCAACGTCTCCCGTTTGAGCTTCTTTCATCCATTTGCCTTTTGCTCGACCTTCAGTCTGCCCTGAACTTCACCCAGGCCAGCCGGAGCGCTCGGGAGACAATTGGGAGCATTCCACAATATCACCGACTCCGCGAACATTCCCTTGAATGCATATGGGCTCTGTCTCGGACAGGTCTTTCGCACCACACTAGCATCTCAGACTTACATGCAGCTTTTCTGGCCGAGCACTGCGTTATTTGTGGCTCGTTTGGCGGGTTCCTTTTCCTTCCCAGCGCAACTCGCTGTTGTTTCGCCTGTATCGAGTCTGCACCAGATTTCCGGATCATCTCATTTCATTCGCTTCAAAAAGAATCACGCAGACTAGCGACGTGGCTCAAAAGATCTCATCCGGTGATACACTCCATCCCTGGGTCATATTCGTCAAACGAAAAAGAGTACACGAGCCGACGAAAACTCGTATCCGGACATCATGCTCTGCAGTTCCCTCGAGCAGACCACGACGAAGACCCCCGGGCCATTCTAGGCAAGCTACCCGATTCTCCAGTCCTGAGATGTATGGCAGCCTGTCGGCTGCCATATTTCAATTTGGCGACTGGCGACTTGCAATTGGGGATATCTTGCAAGGGCTGTCAGATCGCTATGGAGGCCAACTTCAGCGATGCCAACTTTTCTCGCCGAGAGCGTCTCTATTCACGAGACGGGTTCATGCGTCATTTTTGGGACTGCGTAGAGGCAAAGGAGCTCTGGGCTTCTAGTGAGGGAGGGATGGTTGCGGTCACAGAGCCGGAGTGGACGAGACGTGGAGGGTTATGAGATGGATGACGGATAACCGCAAAAACGGGATCTCATGTCACATTGCTTCAATGGTCAGACAGCTCTCTTTCGTTCAAATATCTTCTGGCTGGGCGTACAAATCCATGTTGTCAAGTTTCGCGCAGGACTTACGCCTGTCGCCTTCACAGACCCCAATACGCGACCCCTTGTATGGGTACACTTTCTTTCTCTATAACCATCCCAGACACCCTTGCTGAGCTTTTGTCAAGACCATAACCTTGCTAGCGGCATAATGACCACCACTTCTGCCTGGCAGGCAGCACAGGTACAGAACAGGCAACAGATTGGATGCCTAAATCAAGAACGTGTATACCAACCCCCTTCAATTACCTAGTTTAGACAGTTAGTTCTTCATCCAGCAATAAGTTTCTGTTGTTCAATACGTCCAATCGCTCTACCGAGGCAGTGTCTCGACAGCTTTCCAATGATTGTGGTATTGGAATACTGCAATCCGTGGCTCAGCGCCCCACCCGCCTGGGGGTCCACAGGACAGAGCTCAACCTCGCAAGCCAGTCAGTGCCACCCCTTAGAACAATCTGACTGAGCGCCCTGAGAAGCATGTGAGGTCATACAGGCATTGACTCCTGAGGCCCTGTCCTGCTCGATAGACTGTCTTCGCGGCAGAGCCTGACACTTGCAGCCGACCTGAGCCCAAGGCACAAACACGAGCTACCTTCCTCAGGGTCAACACCACAAGACGACATTCGTCTAGAGCGTAGCCGGTTTCACTCGCCAAGCTAAGACGATTTCCCGCCAGCCGAGCGGTCCGTGACGCTGAACAGGAAGAAACAGGAATCTGGATTGGACAAAGCCTTGGTAGATGCCCTGCATCGAGAGGCTGGTGTTGGTAAGCGGACTAGGGAAAGGTCCGTGAGGGGTAAGCGGCTGAGGTACGCTGGCACTTGAGATTCCTCTGCAATCCCGCGATGCGATGGCTTTAGGGGGCGTGGTGCGCCCTAGTGAGGGACCGGAGGTTCATGATATTCTTAAGCAATCAACCAATTAAGCATGATCCGAGTTCACACTACGTGTCAAGCGTTTTCTTCTGCAGCGGAATGGTTGCATCCAGCAATATCCAATTTCAGTTATTTATAGCCTTTCGTAAAGGAAGAATACTAATTCGAAGTACATAATAGGAACCGCATCCTCCCGCCAATATTCGCCATAGCTCCGAGTCGTAGAGATGTCCAGTCTTCCAGTCTCTCTATTCTTCAATATCGCTGTAGTACTTCTTCGGCGCACCAGGGCTCACAAGATGGCCTGGGCAATAGTTGGTCGACAACTTGCCTTGCCTCAAGAGAACGGGCTTGCACTTGACATTAGTGCCGCTTCTTTCTTCACATTGTACGAATTCACCACCCTTCTTGCATCCGCAGACGTATTTGATATAGAAAGTTGTGCACATTGTGTCTGCGGGATGACTGGATTAGCCACTGCGTTGTTCGCCTGGTCTAGAATGTTGTAACCTACGAGAATCTGGCAGTGATGATGATGAGAAGGTGTTGAGGTATTTTGCAACGCAACGTTGTGGTAAGCTTGTTGTGTTTCGAGAGACTTTGATCTGACTGATGCTGGATGAGTAAGAGCCAGGACACAACCCATGGAGAAGGTACACCGGGGCAGAACGTACTGTGAATCTTGGAATGCTTGATATGGCAGTCAGATGGGTTTGATGTATGATGGATGAGCAGATGGCGTTCTGGGAGGGGAGGAGAGGCTCCTTCTTATCCCTTTAACTTCCAGCTCAACTCCGTGACCTCTAAGACCCAGTTATATTGACCCTTAACCCATACCACACCTGTTTTCTTAACGTGACATCATCAGTACGTAGCATTCCCATACCTATTACACTTGTAACTCGCTCTTCAATCAGTTAGTAAATAACTTTAATTAAAATAGTTGTATCGTTAGAAAGCCCTTATTTAGTGCTATTTGTAGGTTATTTTAGGTGGAATAGATGGCAATATTGGTGTTGGAAAAAGGAGTCAATTAATCTATGGCTGCAACGAGTGTGATGTAGCACTTTGTAACAATAATCGTTATAGTTACATCTGGCATAGGCAAAATTAGTAGAGAATAGAAGTAACTGCAACTTTAGCTATTTTTATTGGCTGTAGGAATTAAAATAGTGCCTTGGCAGGGTATGGAGTCGAGCTGGAAGTTAAGGGGATAAGTTATGTCCATCTCGACCTGCCTACTTGGCTTTTGGATCGTGGATGGTCCTTTTGCCCATAAGACCGTCGTCCAGGCTGCTGAGGTGGATCCGGGCCGCTCCTTGAGTGAGCAGAGGTCAAATTGTGTTGACCAACAACTTAGTCCCAAGTTTAGCTGCCTTGCTCAAGCTATGTCCGAGACACCACTAGTTTGCAGTGTCTGCGGCCGGGGGCTACTGGTTCGAATTCTACGGTCATACTGATCGCACAGGCAATATTCTCTCCTCTACTTCCAAGACCAGCCGCTTTCCCTCCTCAAGAAGTCACACCCCGAGCAAATCCTTCAATTTTGTTCTTCCTTTGGTTACGCCAGCCCAGCCCAGCTCATCAACCACCATCCTCCACCCGAGTCGCAAGCATGGACTCGAAACCGCCTTCCCCAGAGGTTCTCTCCATGGAGACCTCGACGAGGGATGACAGCTACTTTCGGATCCGCTACAACGATAAAGTCAAATACGTCGTCGTCACACGCGGTACCTTCAACTCTGACGAGCTTTGCTTGCCGCTGTATTCACTCCCACCTCTCCCATACGATGATGACGGATGGACTGTTGCCCGTGTTTCGCGCAATCCGGGAAGCCCGCAGCTACAGTTTGTTCTAGAAAACCGCCCACTGCAGGGGGTCAAGGAGATCTGGCACCCCGAGCAGGTCGACTGCCTGGCACTCAAAAGGGTCCAAAGGTTGACGATGAATGTGTCTGAGTGCACCCGAAAGGGCCAAGAGGCGCCCCAGTCGACCGTTATCGCAAAAATCGCGCGATTTGAGTGGGAGATCCCGCGCATTGAGCAAGAAGGGCACGTGTATCGCCTTCTTCAGGATACCGACATTGGCCCCCAGTTCCTAGGACATGTTGTTGAACAAGGCCGTGTAATTGGGTTCGTGCTTGAAAAGTTGCACGGCAAATCTGCTAGCATCGAGCATCGAGCCCGCTGCACCGAGGTCTTAGGGCGCCTCCATCGACTGGGGCTTCTCCACGGCGACGTCAATCGGCATAATTTCATGGTCGGTGACGGCTGGACAAAGATGATCGACTTTGAGAAATCTAAAGAAACACAAGACGAGGGACTTGTCAAGGCGGAGCTGTCAAGTCTCTCATCTGAACTCGAAGATGAGAGCGGACGCGGCGCAGGATTTCTTTGATGTCACGACAGCAGGCACGGACAATTCAGTACACCAGTTGACTTTCTCGATCAGCAAAAGTCTGTACAAAGCAAACATAAGGATTGAAATAACGGATCATCGATCGACACGTGCGTGTACGCGATACTGGCCGGCGCTTCTTGGTGCGAACGTGGGGAGACGCAGCGGGAAGACATGGGCGTAGCGATTGATGCGGCGGGAGTGTTGATGGAGGAACAGGCGCTCAGGCCGATATTGAAGGTGCTGATGACCAGTCCTGTCAGGAGTCGAGTTGTGGCGAAATGTGTGCCCGTGGAGGGCACGGTGAGCGTGTCTGGAATCCAAAGGGTGGATGGAGAAGAAGATGGAGTGGCGGCCAGGTTGATGAAGATGAATGTTGGGGAGCTCACACCGCCACCGCCGGGTTTTGTATTTCCCGGGACTGTGTTGGATAGGAACAGAGGTGAAAGCAAATATGAGGATGAGGTTCCTACCAACCCAGATTATTGGACATGATCTCAGACAGCAAAACGACTCGACAGGCTTGCTGACAGTGATGGCGTTTAACAACACAGCAGTAAATGAGCGTTGCTACTTTCCAGGCACTTTTGCTAGGCACAAGTTTTGCTATTGGGAAACAGAGAGCCCTGAATATTCGACCCCTGAGCCACGGCGGTCACATGCCAACACTATCCAGGGGTTGGAAGGATCAAATTCAGCATTGCTAGCTACTCTGCATTTCAGGGAGCGGATCATGCCCTGCGACTCAAAAAGCCAGTCATGATTACGTTGTTTTGTTAGCCGCCACGAGTACTCAGGCTACCCAGTGTCCCTACGACCACGGCGGGACAAGAGATTCGAGGTGGAGGAGCCGAGTGAGATATTGGAGGATAGCGTGCTGGAAGATTTGCATCCGAAGGTGGAGGCGAAGAAGGCGTTTAGTCGGCCCAAGAGGCCGGGCAGGTGAGTGATTTGGGACATGGTGGTTTGATGAAACATGGGATGGGACGGTATTGTTGATGACTCTTGCTCGATATACGATATCCTAGAAAAATGGGTAAACCCGTGCGGAATGGGTACCGTGTCCCAAAACAGTATAGAAGCAATGCAGTCCGATGCTAGCTTGCAATGCAATTTCAAACGTGGAGTATGTACATCTCCCAATGCAGACCCAAGCATCAATCATCTAGGCCGCTCATGTGTCCGCCTTGCACATGTTTTGTTCCGTCCCTTCTCCAGATCACTCCGAGTACTCATCACCACCACCAACCAACTTGCTCTTCTCCTGCTTAGCCTTGAGGAACTCATACACCGTAAACGTCACAGCCTGCCCAGATCTTGGTCCAATCATGTGCCTCAGAACCTGATCCAACCGCCGAGCCAGACAGACTAGGTTGACCTGACCACAACAGCTCCAACGAGTCCGTCCTTCCCGTTACATGAAGGGGTGGGGGCGAAATCTCCCCGTCCACCGTCCGCCATCCTGGTCTTTCTATAGAATTCGAAAGCCTTCAAATGACGGTCATCGGCTCTTGCCTTGCTCTGGCGGAGAGTGACTGTCCATCTGTCCATCGTATCTTCGCCACTCACACGGCTGCCTAAGCGGATCAGACAACTCCAGAAGATGTGTGCCATGTGACGCCGTCTGTTGCGCTTGTTGTGATGAACCAAAATGTGCACCACTAGTTTGACGGATGTCGGATCTTCCTGATCCCGTACCAGCCCAAACTGGACTTGCTCGTAGAGCATGTTCAGCACCGAGGCATTACGGAACCCTCCAAGGCCGACCACCAAGAGGTACGAGTGGAAGGCGACCCGCATCGAGCTGGTAAGAGGGATGGCGGGCGCGCGGAACCAGAGGGTGCGTATGAGCAGCGCGATATCTTCCGACGTGATCTCACGCTTGATGAAGGTTTGCTTGCGCGTAAGCCCACACTCGTTCGTCAGAGGTCCGGCGATGAACTAGGAGGCACAAGAGTCAGGACACTCGATGAAGGAAGAAGGGGAAGGAGAAAGAAGCCGACGTACTCTGGACACTTCCGCGACAGGCCCCGTCTTGTCTCCTCCGACGAAAGCCAACATCCAATGCCGCCGGTTCTTCCGGGCCTCCTGCCTCTTCTTCCACAAGATGGTCAAGTCGGCCTCCACTACCAGGTTCTTCCAGAGCTCCAACACGGTAACAGCCGACCCTACCTCGCGGGCCCACTGATACTCCTCGGGGCCTAAACAGGCCTCGTATCTGCCAGAGGTCTGCACGTACCATTGCAAGAAGATCTTGCAATGCTCTTTGGCGTCGTCGTCGTCGTCGCACATACCGAGCCACACGGCCTCCGGATCCACCTGTTCCTCTTTGTACTCCTCGATCCAGAATCTAGGGGGAACTGTCAGCGGCCAGGTCGACGCCCGCGGTAGCTTACCATACCGGTTCTATTTACGCGTCATGCGCTGTCTGTCGGCTATCTTCGAATCGGCCACGACTCGAGAATCGCGCTCCGCCCCTTTGGCAACCGCCTTCAGCTTTTTCATGTCCAACCCTATCTTTCTAGGGTTGGCCGGCAAATGCTTCACACCTTTCAATGGCGGCATCGTGATTTCCTTTTCGTGTTTTTCTTTCTTCGGCGGTAACAAGAAAAGGGAGAGTGAGCAGGAAGTGTAGGAGGTACGAGGAGGTGCGAGGGAGCAGGGGAAGAAGAAGAGCACCACGCCGGCTCATATCGCACGGCCGTCGCGAGGGCCAAAGCCTCTTCCGGTGCCGGGCGACCAACGCGGTGCAGGCAACAAGCCAAGACAGAGTGCATGCGGACATGATGCTGCTCTCAGGAGAGTCCGCACCTGACAGGAAACGGTTTGCGGACTGCGGGGCACCGTTCGGGGGTGCTGAGTCAGCAGGCGATTTTTACCGTTTTGTGGTTCAGCCGGGGCTGTGAGTTCTTGCAAGGTCCAGCCTCTGGTAAACCATCTTGAATCCTGCAAGGCCTCGAAAGCATAGCCACCAGATCGCCTTTTCAATCTTTTCGAATTTCTCTCATCAACTGATGCGACATCGTCAAGGTGGACGAAGCAGCACAAAGCCTTACTATACCAGGCAAACATACAGTTGATAGCTTCCGAGAGCTCAGCACTGCTCGATTTGTCGATGCAGTTCGTATCGACCCAGCAATAGTCGATGTCGAATGACTCTGTTAGCTGGGCTACATCGCGAATTTTTCGGTACCCAGCTTTATGAGAAATTGACGCCCTATCTTTCCATTCTTGAAATGAGACCTCTTTACTTCCCCATGTGTGGGAAAGAATGGCATAGGCGGGAGGCTCTCTCCCCCAAAACTCTTCTAATTCAAGGGTATGGACGTTGATGAGACGCATGACAAGTTCGCGCCTGTAAGCACGCAAAATCAAACGGTATACCTAGAGGAGATACACGCCATAACGAACATTGTAGTTCGGATGAAACCGTATTCCTGATGTATGTTTTTATATATTATTGTCGCTCTGTTTTCAGCCTGCAAGGGTCAGCACCGCCTCACTGGGCTGACAGCTGACATCCGCCACAAGCCTTGGCAGTTACTCAATTGCTCAATGAGAGGTGATAGAGATAAGTGGTATCACGATTTATTAGCTGAGGTAATTCTATTTTGGTCCACTAGTTGCATGGTTCATGAGAAGAGCAGTACAAAAGCATACCGATAGAACATTATAATTTGCATCCATCTCCAATGCGATCGTTGCTTTCGCCAGGGTTCGGCGTCAGCTGAAATGGTTGGGCAGATTCTCCCCATTGCTTGACGCCACAATCCTACCCCAGTCAAACCCAGTCAACGGGTCTTACACGTACAATAAAGAAAGAGATATGCATTTAGCCCCAAGTAACCAGTTAATTCAATAATCACGCACTTAAGTAGATGGAATGCTATGAGAAATTGCATACCCGCATAGTGAAGTATAATCATCTGTAGTTGCAATACCATACTTACCAACTCTGGTGAAGCTAGATCCCAGTGACAGAGGGATTATGATCGCATCCTTGATATGATTTATTAAAGGAGGTAACTGGGTTAATTGTTCGTAAGTCGTTAGCGCGTTCTTATAATTTCTCGAAACATCAGTCAGAGCGACTTACTCTATTTCAGTCTTGATGCAAAACCCTACAATTCACGATTCGTCAGTTTTTGCAGTCGATGTGGTCTCAGGTTTGGTGTAATACAGCATGGCTCAGACGCGCACCTAGCAAGAAGACGTTATTATATTACTTCGCAGCGCCGTTTTACCTTTGTTACTCTTCTCGTGTAGGCCGGGACTAGGGAAGCGCGAAGTCGAAAGGCACGTCGTCGTACCGTGTAACGCGCGAACTAGAACTGATGTCATATCGACACAACTGAGGCCATGCCAAATACCATTGGTTGAGTGTTGATATGGAATGTCTCAAGGGCTTGAAGTTCTGGCATTCAAGAATTGAAGCGCGCTAATACCAGCTATGTGCCAGGATGGCGGCACTATCGTGATGCCAAGTAGCGCCAGTGCAGTTGCGTTACTAATGCCCGTGAGAGCGCTTACAGCACACGCAGTAATCAAGGAGTGAGTATATTATTAATGACAAGTTCAGCAGCAGTTCAGCTTATAGGAAATACCCATAGGCTCTGCGTTGAGCATTCGGAGTATAAATTGATAAACGCAGTCAACAGCAAGTCGTCTATTGTTATATCTGATCACGATCTCCTGTTGAAATATCCGCTACTTACATCTCTTTCCGTCTTCGAACTACCTTCCACATTAACGCCTGTGCTTCATCCGCGATTTCTATCACCCGAGGTCGAAAATCCAGACATCGATCCCAGTCATGGCCACATCTCAAGAAACTCCCTCCCCCTTGGCCCAGGAGAAGCTCAAGATCCGCGAGTTCTACCAGTCGTACCTAGACGCCTGCAACGATCAAGACTGGGACCGCATGCAGCAATTTTACGCGTCGCCACACGTGCTCGTAGACGGCGAGCCCAGATCGCCGTCGCAGCTCGTCGAGCGCGCCAGTTCCATGGCCGCAGGCTTCGCCGACTGGCGCTTGGAGGTTTGGCACTTCGCCGTCGATGGTGATCTGATCTACGTGCACCTCAAGCTCGGCGGCACGCATACAGCGACGTTCCAGGGGATCGAACCCACTGGTCGCCGCGTTGACACGACTGAGTTCGCGCTGTATCGCCTTGTCGACGGGAAGTTCGTCGAGATCTGGCCTATGCTGAATATGGAGGCTGTAATAAAACAGATTCAGTAGCGTTTGCACCGAGACGGTACGGCCAGGCTTAGTGTTGAAGAGTGACCTTGGATAGAAATTGCGACTAGACGACCCTTTTCTTGGCTTTCTCTCAGGTTTATGCGGCCGTCAATGCCTACATGGGATTTTGGTTCATCACCGTTCGTTAACTGAGGACCTTGCGCGCTGCTGTAGTTTCGTATAACTTACTCCAAATCGTCTTTGATACGGTCTTGGTGATGCCACAGAGTCTTGGATCAGGCTTACGACTACAGCGCGAGAACAGCTGAGTTCTGCTTACAGGTTGGTCTAGCCCGATCAGCTGCTCGAGAGAGTCAGTGGGTTCTAGGGCAGCAGTGGCTAGAAAGGGGGATAGGCCACATGTGGTTATGGAATATCTGTACTTCTACCCGTATCTACACCCTCGCGATATCTTCGTTTATGGAGCATAGATTTAGCCAAAATTTGACAATCAGTCAATTACTCTTTCTCTTTGAATACGAGCCCTCTCTATTCGATTGCCGGCTTCCCTATTAGTGGTCTGTAAAACCTTACCCCGGAAAGTGCATATTATCTACTGGTAATACCTACTAGTATCTCATAACGCTCAGTCACATCGGTCATGGTGAATGAATGCTATTGTCAGGCCTTCTCAAAGCGATACCCTTTCATAGCATGTAGTAAGTGGAGTACTCAGGCACCCACACATATGAAAAGAAGTTGTTCAAAGGGAAGCGGTTCTAGGACAACAAGTCATGAAACATAAATCAGTGAACAAAGTCCTTGTACCCCAAAAGAAATCTGCTCCTTGTTCTCAAGTAAAGTTCTTATATTCTATCCAAATACAAAGTGCTAACAAAGCACTCATAAGACAAACCATTATTTCCACATCCCCCCTCACTCGCATATATATAAACACACGGAAATCCGCCAGCAATCGAAAATACCCATTCAGCATAAATCAAGAGACACAGCAGACAAGTAAGCCCTCCAGCCCTTCATATCACACAATCCCCAGTATCCAAAACCCTTTTATCACGAATCACAATGTCCAGCACAATCTTCCTCCTCAGCTTCCTCCACGCCGTCGCCCTAGGCGCGCCAACGACTCAGCATCTATCCCTGCTCCCAGGAAACATGACCACACCCGTGATTCCCACACTCACGGCAATCAAATCCGCAGAGGGAGAGGACTCTCCTCAGAGCCCGGAGTTCAACACCGACGCTGTGATCGGCATTGTTCTCGGCGGGACTGTGGGGATTGCTTTGATCGTCTGGGGGATTAACCGTTTTGCGCAGAGGAAGCGGGTTGAGCAGGTATAGAGTGATAGAAGTAGTTGAAATGAAGATGCTTTGTGAGGAGAGGGGTAAGGAAGTGCTGAATATATATGTCTGCTTTACCTAGATAGATTGTTTGCATCTGTTTCTCGTCCTGAGGGCATTTAAAATACTATTGCTTATCTCTAACTACATATGTATGCTATATCTTGAGTGAAGTGAAGTGAAGCGAACCAAGTGTGGTAAAGTTCTTCCAAGTGTTCGTATCTGTTTATAAATATGCCCGAATCGAGTATCCTCAGTATGGTCCTCCAAGCCCAGCTGGTTTATAAGTATAGATAGAAGATTACAAGAAAAATAAATCTAGGAAGTGATTGAGTTTAGAATATAGAGTATTAGGCCTTATCTACCTTAAGCTATGTCGGTGAGGACGCCGGGGTGGGGTGAGAGGAGGTTTAGAGGATTGTGACCATCTACTTAACTAACCTCAGCCCTCTCCGATTTTACGATTCCATGCACAAGATCATAGTATTAGCACAAATCAATACAAGAAACATTATGTAGCAGAAGATATGCATTCCGAGTCCTATTTATCAAAGCACAATGCCAAACCAAGCGCCTAAGACGACAACAACGCATGCCCTGCACGCGAAGCCTTGTCGTGAATGCCAAATGCAATGCAATAATACATGAACTCTGCTTATCTAGTCTTCATATCATCCAATCCATGCATTCTTCCAAGTCCTTCCGCCTGTGCTCGTGTCCAAAGTCGACGCCTTCCCATGCTATTTGGGGTATATTCCTTTCTTTTCCTTTCCGACCAGACCGAATGAATGTAAATGCATATCCACCCTATCATTCTCTTTCGTGACCAATGCCTGTATGTGCCGTCTGAACGCCTGAGCTAGAAACGAGTGGGTGTGTACCTTGAGATGTATCCGCCAATGCTAGGAGAGAAGAGAAAGAAAAGGGCCCGGAATTGGGGTATGTGACTTGAAGGGATTATACAAAGAGAAGAGAAGTTGATAATGCTCGAAATAATCGGCCTGGCATCTAGAGGTCTGAAAGCGATCCCGTAGGGACTATGCTCGGTATTGACATCACAGACGAAACCCTCGTCGAGCTTGTCCGGTGACTCGAGCAGCGCGGACCTTCAGGAATCCTGTCACAGATGTGACTGGAATGAAAGATGTTGGGAAAGGGTTTTCAGGGGAGGTCGCAGTTTTCTTGGTTGTTTCGGAGGTGACCGTCGCAGTCGTAAAAGTTAATGGCTGAGAAGTTGTAGTTCCACCATTGTTGTCGCCACCCACAGTGACGGTGTAATATTGGGTAATGGTTTCGGGGGCGGCAGTGACGGTTACCGTCTTGATGTGGTCATGGTCCTTGCCTGTCTTTGTAGATGTAGGAGCCGGATCGGCTGAGCTGGTAGCGTCATCAAGACCAGTGGGTGCTGGGGGGCTGTTGGTGCCAATGCCTAGAGCTGTTGCTTCGACGAGGTTGTGCACCTGTGATGAGATGGCAGCACTCGCGACATCATGATTGTTGCCAAACTTGATGCCGGGTAACCCCTTGATTCCATCCTTCTTGGCTGAGCCGCTAAGGTCAATCTGCGCGCACGAAGTGTAGATTTCGGTCACGTTCTGCGTGTCGGATACGATCATCGGCCAATCCCACACCCACATGAGGGTATATAAACCATCTGAAGGCAAGTCTGCCGGCAATTGAATATCGGTTTGGCAGAACAGTTGGTCAACACCGTACTTGCTTTTTCGCTCCTGGGCGATCGGGTTTCCAGGAGCGTCTTGGAAGCATTGGCCATCGTCAAAATAATGGCTGGCCAGGAGCTTGCCCTTCTTGTTGCCGCCCTTTCCGTCGACGGTCCAGGAGTTGAGGACGTCATTGATGCCATCGGTATCTTGGTGCTGTGTTGTGCCATATACATACACGTTCCCGCCCCGATACGGTCTTGGGGTCAGGTCAGGCTGTGTGACATGGCCGTTTTCCTGATATTGCAGGGCGATGTAGTCGCCCCCACCTGCCTTAAGAGGGGGGTACTGGGCAGCATCGCTCGACGACAATGGTTTACAGACGACCGGGTTTGTCGAAGTATCTACTATCTTGTTCTGATGTACATCATCCGAGACTCCTTGAGCTCTAGGGATGTAGCCGATGGGATAACCTGGATCCCCCGTGAATGCTCCCGTGGAACTGATACGATATAGATATTCTACCCAAGTATGGGCATTAGCTGTTGGCACTGCGGCGAGCAGTGAGATGGCGGCGATGGTAACGCCCTTGAGACTCATTTTCGTAGATTTGGCAAAACTCCGAAGTGCAAAGAAAGGCCTCGCCTGCGAGACCTAGAGAGAAATGAAAAGGGTGAGAAGAAAGTAGTGTGTATAACTCAACACAGCTTGCGCAACTGCTCGTGTTGAACTGCTGATGTAACTGGGTGTCGAGAGATTGTGGTATTGTGTAGCATTAATATGCCAAGCGACGAGAGTAACAGAGTTGAGAACAGTGTTGGCTTGCGAAGAAAATGCCGTAGTGGGGGTATCGAATAAGACAAAATGCCGTGAGAAGTGAATAGAGGCAGTCGCGCAAAGGTCGGCCTAGTCTAGTTGAATGAAAATATAAATAGATGGTAAAGGTCGAGTTTCTTTGTGCGTGTAGTTTAGACTCGCATTGTAGGAGGTACCAAACAATAGAAACAGAACTCTTTGACCAAAGAACAATAGCAGACAGACCAAGAGGTCGTTCAGTCTGCAGCAAATTAAGCACGCCGGCGCAAGGCACGATAAAATTGTAGTGATTCTGAAAGAAAGAGGGGCTCTCAGGGTCCCGTGCCCTCACTTGATGTGGGTGTGTGTTTGTGTATGTGCTTGTGCGAGTGCGAGTGTGAGTGGGAGAGTAGAAAGAAAGGTATGAAGTCCAATCTGCCAAGAAAAAGAGCAGCACAAGGGTACCTAGCAGAGAAAGGACGGGGTATATGAAGTGTGACAGAGAGACGGGAAGACTACCATGTAAGTACCTAGCTGGAGGGATGTAGGAGGGACGTAGTAGGAACTGAGCATGGACATGGGAATGGGAGCGGCATGTGGTCGAGGTGAGCCGGGCTTCTTATTGTGGGAGACGTCTCTTGTTGGCTGCTGATTGTTTGTATGACGGGCCCAGCTACGGTCAGGAAACTAGTTTGCCTTCACCGTCCGCTCAAGCCACATCCGACGCACTTCGGAGCAAGCAAATGGCCAGAAATGACAAATTCAACGGTGCAGAGATTAGGCCATTAGGTCATAGGCCTCGGTTTTGGCCTGCTTCCGACTTTACACGCTCGGGCAACACGGAAATAGGGTCACGATGGTGCATGGTGCCTTGGGTGGGCAGATTAGCTAGGAGCAGCGAATACTAAGATATGGCTTCTAGCCAGGGCTTTTCTGGCACACTGGGAACATGGAACATGGCGAAATAAGACCCATCGCAGCACTAGAGACTGACAGGCCCTCGACGGGTTAAGAGTTCGTCTTGAACCAGCGTGAGCGGTTTGAGCAGAGCGCCGACCCTACGCGCAGCAGTGGCTCGAGCAGGGCCTGTCATTTTTGTGGTGTTTTGCGAGATGGAGAGAACATGGTGATACAATGGCAGCGACTACCGAAGGCTACAGGGAATACTACAGGGAATGTTGTGGAGGAGACAGCGCCGGGAGTAGCCTAAATCGGGCCTCGAGGGGACTCTGATTGGCCGCTGGCAGTTCAAGATGCTACAGGTTACAGGGGGGCTACAGGGGGTTACAGGGGAGGGTGCCAAGCGAGAGGGACTCTGCGCGCGCTTAAGCAAGTACATACCTCCTACATAGTAGTTAGTTGGAACGACCCAACTGCTGTAGGTACTTAGTATGTTAGTGCAGGGATACCTCAATATTCTATTGTCCAGTCTCGGATGTCACTCGTCAGTTTGTTTCTGAGGAAAGTAACTTGGCGTTTCACGCCCCACGGAGCCATCCACCCAGAGCAGTATCGGATGGCATTAGATGGGTACCTAATAGGTACCTGGTAGGTACTACAGCAGCCTGAAGTACTGTGTACCTGCATCGTCCCCATATTTAACCTTCTGCGTGTCCCATTTTTAAACTCATAATCCCCGCCCACAGCTTTGCTAGCTCGCATTTTCCACCAACCATTCCATGATGGATACCTTCACTTTGTAACAGGCAAGACGCAACGAGACCGCGTCATGATGATTTTACTAGAATCTCATTAAACCATGGCGGCTATTTCTCAAGCCAGGCCACGTGCCACGGCCTTTTTCTCATTTCTTTTGATCTTTAAACGCCTGACATTGCCCTACTTCTGAAACCGCTGACGACAGCTATGAGCTGCTGCTGCTGCTTGCCTTAGCCGCCCGCCTACCTAGGTGCCTATACTTACATTACCTACATAAGTACGGAGGTTGGGGTCGAATATATCCATCGCCAATTAAAATTACCTACCTAGGTACAGTGCAAGGTTTTTTAAGCTTCCAAGGTAAGGCTAATGCTTGCCAGACCGCCATCGGCCCGAGTTTAACGTTTTACTTAGCTTACAGACCGTTAACAGACCGCCACCAAATTAACCAACTGTACCAAGCTGTCAACAATAAGCGGTTTCGGTTAGTTCAAAGCCCAAATAGTGCAAAATCACTAATGTTTACACTATACACGTTGCTAAGGATGATGGATATATTCGATTCCAACCTACGTAGTACCTACCATTTTCCTCACACTGCCAGATGCGCGCGCCTAGGCCCTCAAGATCAGCTCTCACTACTTCACCTACAACGCCTAAATAATTTCGCCTACTCCACGAGAGCGTCTATTAAAATGAGAGCGCTTCTCTTCTCCTTTGAAAGCATTTTCGGATGTAGATACAAGTAACCTCTACGCATTCCCGGCCCTTGTCTATAACACACTCGGCTCACTTGGAACCGTACGGAAGCATCTTATCCCTTCCAGAGCCCAGGCGTCCCATATCCTACCAATCCCAACAGTGCCATCAAGCTTACTTAGTAGTCCCTTGGACATGTATCGGGATTTCTAAGCAGTCGTTGGTCCCCTTCCCGTTCCCGAGACGGCGTCTTATACAGTAGTTCATTCCCTCGGATCTCCCACACAGGAGATTGGCGTTTCCATTTTTTCCAGCGATGGGGAGCAATTTAGGCTGATCGCATCTGATCGGGAAGCCCTGACTAACCGAACGATCTCGTTTGATCTTCTCTCATGTGTCGCCTGATGCACGTATTCACGGACTATCCCTATGCGAACATGCAGAGTCGCATCTTGCGGCGCTCTGACAGGTACCAGTTCATGCAATGAGGGAAGTTGGATGCAACCAACTCAACTGCGCAAGATAGCCTCACCCTAATATCCTAGTCCTAATCTGCTCGGCGCGCACCAGTAGCTTTTAGATGCTTACGTACCACTGAACCAGCGAGGTCCGGTTGTCTACTGCTTCATATTCGCCCGACTCAGGCCAGGTAGTCTGGGCTTGTTTCATACCTCACTACTGCAAGGCGAACTATTTGTTCTGCGCACGATTGCCATAGTGTCGAGGGCGGTTCGGAAAAGACTTCATTTACAGGCTTATATACCCCAATCAACCCACTACCCACCCTTCACGCTCCTGACATTCGCTGTTTCAGAAGTGCAGAGGTCTTCCCCAAGGCACTTCTCGCCACAATAAGATCTATAAGCGCACGTGCAGTATCCCTGGTCCTCACTAGCCACCCCCGGACGATCATGAATCTCGGTACACGTAATCGACTCCGTCTTCGATTCTTCGTAGTCATCTCCCCGCCTATGAACATGGTGTTGTGCTAGGTACTCCAGATCTCCCATCTCCAAGAATAGACAGGGCATATACCGGTACACTAGTACCAATCGGGTTTCCAAATCGCTTCACCATTGTCTCTTGAAACACTTATAGCTGACTCCACAAATGCGTGTGCATCTGCTACTCTATTACATTAGATTAATATTTTCCGTAGACACCTGCAAGATAAAGTGCCATCTCGTCTTATCTTTATGTCTCAATAATCGGACTCCACCGATCCTCAACCTCGTGGGCTTCCTTCCTGGATGGTCGTGCTATATTTTGCGGATCGTACCAGATGGAAGCGCTATGTTTGGAAAGACTAGGTATCCTAGAACATCGGCATGGGACCCTTATTTAAAGGCCTATCGTAACAGCTTTAAGTTGAATCTGCGATACATATCTACCTACTATTCTAATCTATCTTACCCAGGTTTGCGCATCAGAGCCACAAACTTGGACATTGATTTAGAATTCAGAATTTCTGATATTTGTCAAGCGCAGTGAGTGCCTACGTCCTGATTTACCTACTACACCTGCCTGCCTAATCATCGATGTGAATACATAACAATGAACATGGCGTTTGAATTATTGTAATTTATGAGCGATATATATATATATACTCCTTTTGAATTCCATTTCAGTATCAACGAAAAAACAACATCGACGAATCGCCCGCTTGGCTAAGTGGTATAGCGTGTCACTAGTATCCTCTAGATGTCATGACAAGATCAGCGGTTCGATTCCGCTAGTGGGCAAATTTTTTGCAGCTGATGCCACTTTTAGTTTTTACATGTGTTACCTATGCCCATATATGCTGATGACTACATTTATAATGCCACTTCCCTGGCAGTATTATAATAGTAGCTTGATATGTATGCAATACCTTTTTCATTTCATTTTAGTTGTAGCTTCTTTGGGGCTACGTGATTGTAAAGACTGGGGTCAATACGATCAACTATATTTGCAGGTAGATCTGCATTTCCAACATCCCAGGATAGACCCATGATGGTCTTGGGCGCTAATATTGGCATGGAGTCAAATGCTTTATTGACTGATACCACTCTAATTTCAATATACAAATGAGCCTTTATGTTAGTTAACCTCAGCTATGTTGTGTTAGAAAAAGTAGGAGTACTTGGAAGAGCGCAGCATAGAAAGCTCACGCGAGCTAAACCCAATGTTACATCGCCAATGATCAAGGCTTGCTGTGTGAATATAGATAATAGATAAGGCATATCTGTCGTGGTTGTCTGGGGTAGAAACACCACACTAATTACCATGCAAGCCTGATGGGCATTACATACTGCGAGAATGGCCGATCAAAGGAGCAGTCAATCAGAATTTCTCTTGCCAAGAGAAAAAAAACTCATAGATATCACCATAGAGCTACACGGACGGTCCAAAAATTATGGTCTGGCGCCTTTGAATCTCCCAGGTAACTAATGATAGTACGCGGCATAGAGTCTCGTAACGCGTTACAAGTATCCGACAACAATAGCATTAGTAGCTAATAACCATGTGTAAGGACTACTCTACACGTGCGAGATTCAAACTCGTCACATTCAGAGACTGACAAACAACTCCTCAGCAGCAGCTATTGCCTCTAAGACCATTAGACCACAGTGGTTAGGAGCACTAGAATCCTATTGTGGTTCATATATGTACATACATCTGCATGGAGCTATGGCCAGGCCTCAGGCATCTCTTCCTATTGCTATATACCTAGGTACACTATGCTCAAGCCTTGGGCGTGTTCTGTTTGCGAGCCACTGTGCCCGATCTAAGGCGGTGTCATCAACTGCCATTCAGCCCTTGATTACATGATGCATTTTGACGAACCTCTGAAGGCTGAGAGTACCGACTCATGCATTTTACCTAGACCTCGCCTGGTCCATAGCCACAAACCTTTCATATTCAGAACAACAGGGATATTGGTAGCTACAACAGATTACTGTTTTATGAACATAGAGCTAACTCTAAGGCCTGATTCGGTCTCTCAAAAACGCAGTACGAAGTATACAGTAAGACTTTCTGTGGCACGAAAGCGTATGCTGTCAGAAAGTATTAGACTCCTTCTGACTATATATATGCTATTTCTTTATCCCTCGGTCTCCAGACTCCTAACATTCTCCCTCGACATGCCGACCAGGTCCTTTATTTCACGGTACAATGTCAGGCGTGCAATTCATCCTCTCAGGTAAGTATACAGTCTCTTTTCATCTGTACTAGAGCTGGTAAGCTCAATTTCTCCTAGTTATCAGACCTGCCGGTGCCAACACACTAAGAGATGATGCATACACGTCCAAGAATGTACGGGGGCCGATTTCAAGCAATCAACAGTGGTTGGAAGAAGCAGGTGACTTCCGCACCCCGGATAACGCCATCCCCGGACCAAAGCGGGTCGGCATAAGATGATCGCGGGGAAATCGTGGAGATGAATATATACTTACGTTCCCGAGGGCTCCGCAGAAACCCGGCCTATCATAAGATATATTCTGGTGTTAACTGAAAACATGATATATGATTTAGCTGGAAAGTAGATTACTTTTCTGTTTGTCACCCAGTCGCAGCTTGTTCGTTTCTTCGTCTACTTACTAAAGACATCTAAGCAGCACAAGAAGAACAACACAGAAGCATCTACCTCTACTGCGTATAAGCATGGCATCCACAGAGACGCGGAAACCAATCGGCATCGCCGTAATCGGGTTCGCCGGCATCATTGGGCGCCGACACACCGCGCACGTTATCTCAAATCCGTCCGCAGCCCTGCTAGCCGTCGTCGACGGCGCGCCGGGCGCATCTGACTTGGCCGCCCAGCTAGCGCCCGGCGTGCCTTTCTTCCAAACCGTGACGGAAATGCTCTCAACCACAGTTCCAGACGCTGCAATCGTGTGCACCCCCAACGCACACCATGTCACAGTGGGTCTAGAGCTGGCCGATGCCGGCGTACATCTACTCGTGGAGAAACCACTCGCCGAGGCCAAGGCCTCGGCGCGCACACTCGTTGATCGCGTGCGACAGAAAGGCGTCAAGTTACTCGTGGGTCATCACCGGCGCTTCAACCCATACGTAGTCGCCGCGCGGAAGGTACTTAAGACATCAGACGAGAAACCGGGGGCACCAGGCGTGGGGTTAGTCACGGCGGTTTCCGGCTTGTGGACGACATACAAGCCTGATGGTTATTATGCCGCCGCGCCCTGGCGGCGCAGCAGGCAGTTGGGTGGCGGGCCCGTCATGATTAATTTTGCGCACGAAGTTGATACCCTGCAGCATCTGCTCGGGCCTATCACGCGCGTGAGCGCGGAGAAGATGCGGAGAAGGTACACCTCTGAGGAGGGCGATGCGAACGCAGTAGAGGACGGGGCAGCATTGACGTTGCGCTTCGAGTCGGGCGCCGTGGGAAGTTTTATTCTATCCGACGGCGTCGTTTCGCCGCACAACTTCGAGGCAGGCACGGGTGAGAACCCGCTGTTGCCTCGCGCGAGGCGGCCACGCCATGGTCATCTTGACGACATCGATGAAATCGAATCCGAGCCTGTCGATGTTTATAGGATATTCGGTGCCAATGGCACGCTGAGTGTCCCAGATATGACTCTCTGGACATGCGGAGATAAGCCCCGGAGCTGGGAGAATGAGTTGCAAGTCCAACGTATAGAATTGGACGATGACCCTCGTGTTCCCTTTGAGCGCCAGCTCGATCACTTTATTGCTGTTGTTAGAGGAGACATACCCATCAAGGGCGGACCAGGATGTACGGGGGAAGAGGGTCTCGGAGTCATTGCTGTATGTGAGGCTGTCATAGAGGCGTTGGATGATAGCGAAGGGGGGAGAGTAACTGTCAAGGTATTATAACAATATCTGTTCATGTTTTCTAATATTGAGAAATAAAGTACACGTGATATGGACTGTGCTGCCAATTCATTGCAGCATGCGGAGGTCAGAGTCTCAAACGACTAAGTGTCCTCTTAGCAACTGGCCTACTGGTCTCTCATCCAATTTCTACGTTAATTTGAATAAGTCACTAATTATGTATTCCACCTATTCATTCGAATAGCTAGCAGATACGCGTAATCTGAGCCCTAGATGCGCTCTGCCATCCCTTATATGCCAAAGAGGGACAAACTTTAAAAAAGCCTCTATACTCTAAGCTTAATAAGCTAGAGGCAGACATTATATAATGACTAATGGCCTCGAATAGTTGTAGAGAACTCCTCTATGAGTCCATGGCCTCATGCTCGGAAGAGGAGAGAGGAAGGGCTGCCATTGAGGTTCAGTGAAAAAGATGTGCCTAGGTCCTATAATATGTCTTATGCATCCAAGGGGTTATGTTGATGCCATTCGACTAGTAGAACCGTAAGCTACTAGAATATAATGCTTTTCATCACACTCTTATCGCACATACCCCTGACGAGCTTTGAATGTCCTATGTATTCTGATACAGAAGAATATGGCCATCCGCAGATCCTTAAGCATCGGCGCTCAAGCTGTAGAACCAATATATCTACAGCGTAAATTCAAGTATGTAGGTTGAGCTTAGCAAAGAAATATGTGCTGTCTTGATGAGTCATATGACAAGCGCGCTACGAAATGGTATTAGGTGATTAGGCAATCTGTTGGAGTGAGGCTTGGATCATCTACGACGCTCATTTTCTGTCTCCGGGATCGCTATAAAGAAAGTGGGTAATATCAAGTCATGGCAGTCCTTTGGGGATAGAAATGTTATTATTGTGAATATGTAGCGAGTAAATCTTTTTTTTTTTCTCTCTTTAATACCGTACTTGAGATATATCGTGGGCTTCCTATAATGGAAACCGATGGGATTTCCAGCTAAATGTTTTGTTTCCCTTTCTTCAGTTCTGCATTGCATCATGCATACCGCCGTAAAAACGGCACAGTCACATTCTATTCAATGATTTGTAGTTTGTTCTAAAAGTGCCATAAAGCTGAGTGAGGGGAAGATAGCCAATGTAGGTAGATTAGCCACATGAGGTTTTCCAGGGGTTACCATTCCTTGCTCGCCTCGGTACCAAATTTCAGAAACCCATGCAGCTCACTTTGCTAATAACCTAGATGGCACAACCTCCATACCACCTCGCTATTCCCATGAACCTGATTCGTCGCCGACCTTCCTACGTTTTTCAGCTCCTGCAAGCGACCCCGTAACCCCATCGACCTTTGAAGAGCCGCATGGGGGACCGGAGACGGTGAACACGTTCCGGCTTACTCATGTGCACTTAATGGAGCTGTCGAGAAGCACCTTGAGGTAGCATTTTACGTAAAAGATGTCTTTTTGCCAAGAATAAGATATAGATAGGTATGCTACCCGTATGTTGTCACACGTTCGTCCGTCCGACTTCTCGTACATAGCCTGCTTTGACACCTAGGGATCATGGCGACGTGCTAAAATAGGTGGCAGATGTCACCACCAATGGTTTCTGGGCAATGAAGCTGCTCAAACAACCTGATGGAACGTTGCGGTCACTCAGAATTTATCGGTCCACCCCTTCCGTGATGCTTACTGACGCTAACGATCTGGCGGGGATTGAAGGCTTAAGATGTCTGTTATATTATCCTTGTCCTAAGTATGTATCAATGTTTATCTTAATGGGAAGCATGCGACTCAACTTTTATTCTCAACTGACCACATATAGGCCAGCAGGGTAGCTATATCTTGAACCGTTACATTCGCTAATGCCAGACTGCTCTTACTTACATCTCGACACGACCAACGACCAAACTCACGAGAAGTGTTAAGCGACTCACCGGCAGCCCCTGACGTCGTAACAGTACATCGTGAATCCATCTGATTTCTTCCTCCTTTTGAGAAAGTCGTATTGGGTAAAGCTTCCAGCACATCAACATGGGCTGCCCTTCAGATAGCCTGAGCAAATCTTCCGAGCGAAGCACTTGAGCTCGGGGCAACAATTCAAAATAGCCTTATAATGGCGCGACTAGTTAGGTAGTACTTCAGCGTGCACAAAAGCAGACTGTCAGAATCTATAAAGTCCCGGGCTATCCTCTGGATATCGTGTCTTTCCTAATCCGCAGCCTACCCAACTATCTAAATCAAGACAGCCCTCTAATAGAATCAATATGGTACTTTCTTGGCCTCTTCTCTCATATATTGGATGTATCTCATCCCTATGTCTTCCTACCCCTACTTTGGGGCTTGCTCTACCGCCTGAGGGCAAGCTACTCGAAGCCCGTCAGAGCTCGTTTCAAACTAGAATCGTTGACACCGGGTCAATGTTTAGCCAGGAAGACAATGGAGTATGGCAGTTGATCGAGTTAGTGCCCATTTCATACAATTATTGATGTGACTTCCCTTTTGAAATATGCAATTTCAGAAGACAGCTTTGCTTAGATGCACCAACTAACATTGAAATAGCGCCACGGGTGACGGTATCCTAGACCTTGCCTATATCAAGACCAAGAACACGAAATCCAAGTCAGTCGAGGTGCACATCGCCTCTTCATCGGGCTTTAAGACCCGCGTCTTCGGCGCTGGGACTACGTTCGCCGAAGAAAACGACGGCACTTGGCTCCTCGTGCCCTCGAAGAACAGTGCGCTCCCTGACCTCGCATTCATCAAGACGAGCAATACGCCGTCAGGAAGAGTCGAGGTGCACATCGCGTCGGGCGCCTCCGGCTACAAGAGCCGCATTCAGCAGACCGCGACAATCTTCGGGAACGAAGACAACGGATTCTGGAGTCTATACGACTACGACCGCGATGGTATTTTAGATCTCGTCTATATCAAGACGCGGAACACGAGCAGCGGCAAGGTAGAAGTCCACGTGGCCTCCGGTGCGTCCACATACAGTCGCCTCATCCGGCAGACTGTGACGAGTTTCGCGGTGGATGGAAACAACGGTTTCTGGTCGCTGGCTCCGTACTCATTCCCTATAGAGGCTGATCTCGTGTATATCAAGAATACGGGGACGAGCACAGGTCAAGTTGAGGTCTCTGTACTTTCTAGGTCTTCTAACTTCCAGACGCCGATCTTCCAAGGCGCAAGCATATATGCTCAAGAGACGAACGGGGTATGGAGCATGATCGACTACAATCGGGATGGGGCGCTAGATCTGGCGTACATTAAGTACCAGAACTCGGTCACGGGGACCACAGAAGTTCATGTTGCTGCTGGTTGAGGGGCTACCAAGCCTCAGTTTCATCCGGAGATAGTAGGGAATGCTGATTACGATCGTAAGGTGAATGGAGGTTCATTTCATGACGCAAAGTATTTTATGTATGGTCTATAATCGACACGTTCGTTTGATCATCTAACACACATTCCTTATCCAACGCGCACTGCGCGATGATGACTAAGATGGGGAGAAATATGTACCTTCTATTCAAGAAACGTTCATTCACCTAACAAACGCCTTAGACTTCCTAAGTTGTTTCCTTGTGCTATTATCAGTATCCCTGGCGTATCTTTGGCGAATGATTTTACGATACTCCCCACATAAATTCACATATCTCAAAAGACACTTGTAAAACGCGAGGTAACGCGACTTTCTATATTCGTATTTGATAAGAATTACCGCCACAGCGGGAGGTAATAGATAGATTCCATCCATCTACTCCGAAGACTCTCCGTCATTCCATTCACGAGCCCCGAACCGCATCCCTAATTAACTCCGGGACCCCCCAAGACCAAGAAAAGCAACGCCGCAAATAGGAAAAATGCTAACAAGCCCTCCATCCGCCCAATTGACCAACCATTCCGTGGTTACCCTGACGACATAACAGATTATAGATAGATGATTAGGCCAGCCCATCCAGTCGGGTCCGGAATGCATGTTACTCATGCTAATATGCCTCCACTCAATTCATCAGAAGCTAAGGTTTTCGCTCAGGTTTTCAACCTTATTAGATGATAGAAAGAATCCAGCGCAAGTAGAAATATAACTGGTCAACGGCTAGCCCACTACAAGAAGCCAGCCGTTGCTTCGTCCATAACAGCCGTAGGCGCACCCCCACTATCCGCCACGCTCTCGGCCCTGTAAGCAGATGCCGGATGATGCGCAAGCTTGCGGATAGAATGAACAGGGTACCCATCGCAGTCGCCATCGTCATCAAGGCCAACGCTCTCCGTCCGTGATCTCTTGCGTCCCGCGAGTGTTGGGGAAGGGTGTGAAGTGAGGGCCGGGATGTGGCCGAGGGAATGGTTGCGTAGAGGCGTCAGTCCAGTTGCAGGCATGGTAAAGCCCGCGGCAGTCTCGCCTTCATTCAGACCACCTAGCCCTTCGTCGAACAGCAATCCTGTAGAAGCGCGTCGGCCATAGTTAGGGGAGATTTGCTGATTCAGCTCTGCGCCCTGCCACGGTGCCCACGTGTCTTGATTCACGGGGCTGAGATCTGACTCGGAGTCGTGCTGCGTGTGGCCTACGGTTACAGCTGCGGCAGCGGCGATGGCAGCCCACTGTGGCTCTGCCGTGGTAGATGCAGCAAGGCTGCTTGTGTCAGCCCAGCTGACACCACTGACATCTGGTAGCTGGGGGTTATTGTCCATGTAACGCGTCGTTAAGTCACTGAGTGTGTTTGAAGGTCCTGCTGTGAAGTCTGGAATGTATTCTGATACGTCGAGGCCGGACAGGAAGGGCTCTGTCGGGCTTGGGTCATGGCCACCTAGCAGACTAGCCTGAGTATGATCTGTCATACTCGTGCCACTCGTCCCATCAGACATGAAGCTCAGGTGATGGTGCAGTGTGTGGCCCGAGTCGATATGTGTACCATTAGCGTCAAAGTTGTGAGGGAAATTGCTTGAAAGGGTTGCAGTGGGAGGCGGCGTTGTGAGTCCGTTCGAAAATCCATCCAAGACATCGTTCAGCTCCGTCAGATGACTTGGTTGGTGTAGATGCTGCAGATGTTGCTGATTGTGAGTTTGAGTATAGCCTGGTAAAGCAAAAGCGGCCGTTGGCATGGCGTCGTAAGCAGCATTGAAATTCTCCTGCATGGCTGCATTGACGTGTTGTGCGTACCCAGGATTCGGACTCATGATGTTGTCTCGGGATAGTGATGTCGGGGTCCCAGATACGTAGGCTTGTTGCTGGTGGTAAGAAGAAGTTGGGTCAATCTTAGTTAGGAAGCGCCAGTTAGTTCCTGGCGGCACTGCTGTCGTCTTTCCCCTGTCGTCGGTGTCATCGTGAACGGGCACAAAGGTCCATAGTATGACTGCTCGACGTGTCCATTTTCCACGACTCCTCTTGGAAGACGAATCTTCGTCGTTATTCCTATTTCCTCCTTCGTGTTGTGGTGCCGACCATACCTCTTGGTACATGGCGACTTGAGATAAAAGATCTTTGGGGCTGGGGCCCTTTGATTTGAGGTGAGATGACTCTTCGTTCTCCTTCTTCATCCTAGCTGCTTCCCGCTCAGCCCGGCCGTTAAGTGACGCCGCCTCGCGAGCCACTCGGTCACGGTCCTTTCTCTCTCTCTCGGCCGTTACAAACGGTGCAAGTTTGATAAAAGTATTGGCCCAGCTGTTAGCAGGGAAGGGCACGGTGATAGTATCACGACTACCACGGGCGATGCAGTCACATCGGCCCACGCCACTACAACCTACGCGATGAGAGCGAATGACATCGATAGAACTACCTTCTTCCCAGCACTCGTTTTCTACATCTGAAATGTAGAGTTCATCTGGCTTAATAACGCAGGTCCTAGATCGCCAACTGTGATTGTGATGATCCGGCCTGCTAATGGTAAACTCAACAAGGCCATTTAGATCAGAACCTGCTGGGAATTTAGAAGTGGAATGTAGATCAAGTACTGTCTCGAAGTGAAAAGTGTCACAGGGCCCAACGACACATCGCGAGTTCAGCTCGTCGGACGGGTGAACGTCGTCAAGAGCAGCAGTTAGCTTCTCCCGGAGCTCAGGGAACCTGATATCCCACTTGCCGGCAATTTCCTTGACTGAAGAGGATTCCTTCTGGGCCAAAGACCTTGTGTATTCGTGAAGCAAAATTGTCGGTTGGTTTCCCAGACGTGGCAAGTCTTTATACTCTTTCCCTTCATTAAGTCTAAGGTGAGGATAGTCGGTCTCGGTCAAACATAGACCGTCAGGATGACTAGCAACTAGCTGCTTCTTCATCGTACCATCCTCCGACGCTGCGTGTTTTTCTTTCAGGGTAACCTTCGATGAAGATACAAAGATCCAGCACTGCTTTGGTCGAATAAAAACATCGTTTTCGGCGTTCAGCAGTCGTGAGAAATACTCGTAGTTCGGTCGCTCGTCTGGTAACCTCCCATCGGCTATCGAGATGAGCACGCGGTTGTTCTTGAAGGATTCGGTGTCTTCCTCCTCCTTCACAATTCTCTTGTCATCATCAAGTCCATCCTTCTGCCTAGGAAAGATGAAATGAACTGGATCGAGCAGTTAGCACATTGTAGTTAATTGAGCAGACCAACACTTACATGTAGACAAGGTAGGGAAAAAGCCTTTCAGGACTTGTATATGACTCGACACTTGCTTTCGTGACCTAAACATAGGATGCCCAGGACTGTCCTTGGTCTTTTCTCTCTGTTTTCCAGATGGGATTCGTTCGCCCTTTCGAGGTGGGTGTAGTGTCCAGTGATAGATCCAAAGGTACTCCGTTATCAGCATATTCCGGCCGTAGAGGATTGTCTTTGAACTGAATTTCTTCCGACCAAGCTGGGGGATAAGGAGAAGAGCTATTATGGCTTGTCAACACCTCATTTTGCGGGGAGAGATGGCAAAGTTCATACGTACCATCGAGAAAAGCATCTTCTAACCAATCAGGCCACACAGGTTGCTCTTTGTCAAGCTCTTTCTGCATGACCTTATTACGATAATCCGCAAAATTCTTGTGGTGGTATATGGGGTTTTTTCTGCCCCGTGGGTTGCCCATTGGTAAGGGTTGTAAAGACGCATTTCGATGTAAAGACCGTTCGCCCCGGAGACTAGTGCCATAGCTCGATGTCAAGGCTTGGGTAGGAAGTATTGGGGGTGTTGGAATAGAATGAATAGTTGGAGATAGCGAGAGCTGAGTATAACATAAAGCAGCAGAGGCAGCAAGGGTGTGAGCTCGAATATTACCCGTTGACTCACTCAGTGGTTGCCTTGTCGTTGCCACCACCTCATGTTGCCCATCGTATGTGTAATCAGATGTTGGCGAGAACCTCTGGGAGGACAAGACAGGCCGTGGAAGCTGCATTGTAAAGAGCGTAATGAAAGGAACTGTAAAGAATGCTTCTCGTAAAGGCTGAGAATTTTGGCGAATGCCTGGAGAGAACGCAAGAACGCTGGGAAGCAGATTCAGATATGTAGAAAGGAATGGCAGCGGCAAGAAATGCCTGTCGAAATACAAGTCAAGGTGATTACCGGGTCAGAAGAGCTGGCATGAAGGTAGATGAAGCCATATCTTATATGAACCTTAGTAGCCGTGACACAACTATCATCCAAAGGAGTATCCGTGCCTTGACGACTACGCCCTGGAGAGTACCCCACTACATGGTTCAAGGGCATCATGGAGAAGGCTCGAGTCGGTGCAAACACCACTGTCGAGAGAGACATAGTGGTATTGCTATGAGATAAGAGGGTCGTCCTACTGGCACGTAACAAGACTAGGATCGAAATGGTAACAAGACAATAACAGGTGTATCGGGGAATGTTCAATTTGCGAGTACTAATGGCCCCTAGTTCTCCCGGCTCGGCGAATATTCCACCGCTCGGGGTACGGAGCAAGGGGAATGTGACTTTGACTAACGTACTGATACAATGATCGTCAATTCTACAGAGTAGCAGCTTGTACTTGAACCGTTGACAAGGGTTTGTGCTCTGTGTAGCCTTCCCTGTAACTTACCTGCGTGCGAGCCGGCTCCCTGGACCTGGCTGGCGGGGGTGGGCTCCTATAGTCTTGGCAAAGGGAGGTCTCACAAATCAATGTACCACATCTCCTCTCCGAAGATGGCAATACTCACACTCCTTCGTTAGCATAGTCTTGTACACAGGGAAGAATAGCCGATTCAATTGCTGTCTTTTAGTCTCCCTCGTCCCTGTCTCCCCCAACATTGAACTTCTTCCGACCTTGACCGGTAAGTTCCTGTAGGGCGACCTTATTAACCTGCCCACCAACCTTCTTCTGCATTTTAGCGATTTCTTCCTCGGCGTCTACTGCATCAGCTTCTGCGTATTGTAAAATCAAACGGCGGCCGAGCAAGTGTGTTCCTTCGAGTGCCTGCAGCGCCGAAGCCGCCTCCTTGGTAGAAGAAAAGTCCACAAACGCAAATCCCCTGCCAGAGTGATTAAACTTTTTAGGCATTCTGACAGCCTTAATCTGGGAATATGCAGAAAACAATGCTTTGATCTCGCGCTTGCTTGCCTGGAACGGCAAGTTCTTTACTATAAGGGTGCAGGTAGCTTTATTAGCAATCTCTTCCTTTTTCTTTCGCTCTTCAGCAGCATCAAGGCCACGGTGAGAAGCTCTAATCTGTAACTTGTGGCCCATTAAAACATGGCCATCCATGACCTTTGCTGCTGCCGCTGCCAAATCGCTATTTTCAAACGAGATAAAGCCGAACCCCATCGAGAGGGTTTGGCCGGGCCGCTTGATGTCCTTTTTCGTCTTGACGAGGGCACTTTTGAACCCTTCCAAATGGTGAAAGGCATCTGCCAGTGCCTTCGTGTCGGTATCGAAATTCAGATTCTTTACGAATAATGTAGCATCGTGGGAAGGCTGCTTGGTATCTTCCGCAAGCAGATCTGATGCAGACACCTTTTCAACGGCGGCGGGTTGGTGACTTGACTCCGAGCCCTGCGCTGGTTGCGAGTCAAAAAATATATCTCGCGGGGCTTTCTCTAAAAATAATTGTGAAGAGCCGAAGCGACGGTATGCTAGTTTGGAAAACGCCCGTTTCCCATCGGACGGGGAGGCAAGTTGCACGATCGCAATCACTCCTGTTGGGGGAATCAAGACTCTTAGTACTTTCCCGTGTTCCTCAAATAGATTCCTTATTTCTTCAGATTTCGTGTTTGCATCTAAATTTTTGACAAGAATCACATCATCGGAGCGGGGTTTTAACTTGAAAGACTCCAGGTTGACACCATTTGCGGTAAAGTACGACTTTGTGTCCTGTATTATCTCCGACTCAGCAAGAGCCTGTTTAACTCCGGCGTCGCTACTGGTAGGATCCAACAGTTCACTTTTGGAAATACCTAGGCGCTCGGCAACAGAAGTATTGACGGCATCCTGGGACAAGTAAAGAGAGTTCCAAGACCATGTTGAGGCAGCTGCCTTCTTTCTCTTCTTTATCAAGTTTTGCTGTTTGAGTGGTAGCTTGGCAAGCGCGAATTCATCAAGTTCATCCGTTTTCGCTTTTGCTGGTAATAAATGTAAAATCCTACCTTGAAAGGTAGTGCGATCGGACTGGAATGCCTTTATTGCCGCATCTTGATCGCGGAATAAGATAAAACCCATCTTCTGTATGTCAGCAATGGGTTCTCATAATCAATTTAAATGATAACTTACACCACGGTTTTTGTTTGACGCATCAGACGGAACATGAACCTATACTCGTTTTAGTAGAATGAAACACCGATCAGGGATAGTTATGAGTCGATGAAGGGAGATTCTCAGATACCAGAGCATCTACTAAAATACTGGCCCAGGGTTCGCATCAAAAATGATTCAGCTGTCCCTATCTGGGGTTCATCATAGAATCGAGAGTAGGAAATGGGTTGTATATAGAATGATGGGTGGCTTACCTCTTCAACCTCACCAAACTTTTCGAAGTGGGTCCTGAGGTCTTCAACAGTGGCATCATAAGGAAGATTACGGCAGAAAATCCTGGCAGTCTTCCGAATAGCGTTGTGCGTAGCATCATCATGCGAATCCGTACCCCTTTCAACGCTTTCTTCCGATTCAGCCATGATAGTCTCCTCCGTGACATCCACACCATCTGGTGCTATATGTTCCAGATTTTGTTGGTCAGTTTCTTCGGCATCCATAGGCTTTGGTCTGATAGGAACAATGTCATCGTCATCAGCTAGGTCGAGAAGTCTGTTTGTCCTATTACGCAACCAATCATCATCATCGACCGTGCCAGCAATATTGTCTTGAACACCACCATCCAAGTTCTGAGAATCTGGCTGTTCGTCCGGTTGGTTTACGGGTACATCAAGCGATGACACAGCTGCGGATCTTTCTTGTAATTCAAGAACCGATTCAGGTGGCGGTATTGTGGCTCTTTTACTAGGTTTTGTGGGCATGGACTGATACTCGTCTCCCGATTCAGGTTCATCGACAGTAGCGACCTTTTTCGTGGGAGGTTCGATAACAGCGTCGTCTTCATGCCCGTGAAGTTTATCCGCTGAGATCGTGGATGCCTGCATGACATTCAGGAATTCCTGCAGTTTTGGATCCGACTCGTTTAGGGCGTCGCGCTTCCGCTTCTTCGCGTTGGCATCAGCCTGCTCTTCAGTAGATGCTGACGGCTGGCTGGGCTTGGCTTTTGAGCTTATGGAAGGTCGCGCATCTGAGGATTCGGTTCTAGAGGCGGCAAGATCTGCTATCTATAGAGACAGTGTTAGTGGGGTTTGTAGTGCCCAGCCAGGGAATTACTTACGGGCTTGGCGAGCTCAACGTTGATTCTAGACATCCGTATGAAAGAACGGTTGAAGTACCTGACCGCGTCGGCGGCCTCATTTGGGGTTTTGTACCCAACATAACCGATCCTCCGCTGCGGGAAAAACTTGATATCGGAAACATGGCCCTTCGTACTGAAAAATTTCCGTAGTTCAGTCTCTAACAGAGTAGGATGTTAATAGGTACTGCTTCAGTTCAGCAGGAATGATATTAGCGACAATGACTGACCATTGATTGTGGGTGGGAGACCGCGCACAAAGATACGGGAGGACTCCATCATTTACAGACTGTGTCTCGCTCGCGCTTCTCTCTGCTTTATTTGCGGCTCGAAGAAGGAGGAAAAGAGAAGAGCAACTGGGTATCATCATCTATCAACAAAATTATGGTGGAGACATTAGAGAGAGAGAGAGAGAAAGATTTATCATCACGTGATTGACAAGGTAGCCCACCTTTAGGCGCCTCGGGTGCGTCTAGGAGGTACCGGCAGGTAGCTGACAGGCTCGACAGGGTCATCGGTAGTGATCTTAGAGATTCTTAGTGCAGTTAAATGCAGCTTAGGTAGTGTCCAATGGGATCGTTCTAGGTAGGTACGCCTGGGTACCTACAGAAACCGCCCCAGTTCTGCCCCGGGTTGTCGAAGAGCAAGGCGGCCAATGGTGGGTGGCAGCGCGATGCCTGTGATGATTAAAGCACCACCAACGCGACGATCGGGCTCATCCTCCCTTTTCCGCCTGCACAACCCCCGAAGCCCGACCTTACTGTAGACGAGACCGCCAATCCCGAGATTCTTACCTACGCCGCCGCACCTATCCGCATTCTTGTGAGTTCAAATCTCTCTGCCCTACGTCGCGAGACTTGTGCCAGATTCATGGTTAATTCCACCTCACTATTACTACCAACCGTGTCCCCTTATCGGTCTAGACCAAAACATTCTTGCTAACTTCTCGCCATAGAACGACCGCTCAAGCACTCCTACACGGCTCATTTCGACATGGCGGAACAGAACTCCCCTCCACCGGCCGCGCGCGAAAAGCTCGATGGTTCGTGAACGCCCCCCGCCACACACTGAGACCATGGAGAACAAGTTTCCCGGCTAACAAACACCGCCTTGAGCAACAGCGCAAATCAAGTCCGCAGACATGGTTAGAGGACCACTCACCGTAGCAGACAGTATTCAATGGGGATGCTGACAGTCATTAGACCGAGGATATGCAGCAGGAGGCCATCGACGTCGGTACGCGATAGTACAGAGTTTCGTGTTCAAAGTTTATATCTGACACATGACACCAGCTCAGGAGGCGATGGGAAAGTTTACCATTGAGAAAGATATTGCGCAGCACATCAAGAAAACGGTATAACTCGTCTAAGCACCCAGCAAGCGCTGCCATCGGTACTAAACGCAATTAGTTTGATGACCGGAAAGGCCCTACATGGCACTGCATCGTGGGAAGAAACTTTGGCAGCTTTGTCACTCATGGTAATTCTCTGCCGCCCCCTATTTCGGAGTTGGAACACTAACATGATGGTTGCAGAGACAAAACACTTCATCTACTTCTACCTTGGCCACTGCGCCATTCTGCTCTTCAAGACCCAGTAGATGCATAACCGCAGCTAGTGTCGCAGAAGCGATCGAGCCGGTTGTTTGGGTACACCTCCTCCGTGGTTTGCGTGGGCAACTGCATTGGAATCAGCACCGGTAACGGCTAGAAAAAGTGAATTTGAGAACACAATAGGCGCATCATTAGAAACACAGATGCGAAGTTGAGTAGAGCGCGGCCTAGCCACTCAACTTCCTACTTATCAAAGCTTATTCGGTCTTCTGAGACGACTGCGAGTCACAGAATGACAGAGGCCGAATATTAGAGAGCTTAATGACGTTCATTCATAATAGAACGAATAATAGAAATATCACACACCTGGGACGCCTTTTATTCTCCCTCTATGCATTTGGTATTGGGTGTTGGAAGGGCAGGAAACAGCTATCAGTATACCTACATTTACACTAGGCAATAAATAGGATTGAGCATTCCAAGGATCACCGCCGCCCACAAACTGCCTATATGGAGAGGGGAAAACCTCTGTGCCGAGAACCGCTGGTCCTCATGTATATTTTGGTCCTGATCCCCAATTCGTGTAACCCAGTTGCCCCTTTTAGAAATCAAGTCTCGGCTCAGCCTCACATAACCTGGACAAATCTCGGGTTCCCGGCAGGGGGGAAATACGGCTGCAACAGGTACCTCCTCTAGTAGTACGTATGTTGTGCCGTATGTAGGTAACGATTTCTGCATTATCGCAGGGTCACGGTCCTTCGGCGCCCAGACCAATCCTCCTTGCCATCATGATCTTGCCTGTCTGCCTGTCATTAACTTCGGACGACAGAGCCGCGTTTCAAGTGTTACTCACGCAGGTGAATCTGAAACGGAGCAGGCGGGTTTTCCTTTTCGTTCTTTTCCCCATCCCTCCAACGCTCTGATGTCTTGAATAATGGCTCACGACGTAGAACTAGACTAGATATCATACATTGTTAAATTCCTTCTTGGGCACACTACTCTAGACATCTGGTAGCAAATGAATATAACATAAAATACGGGGGAAAGAGGTATATGTTCCGGGAAATAGTCCATCGGTAATTAGTAGAATAGCTACAGCAATAGGTATGTCGCCGAGGAGGAAGGAATCTGTGCGGATTAACGGATTGATTGATTGAATCCTCCATTCCACGGCGTCGGATCGGCTAACTTCGAGACACAACGACTCTTGTCTCAAGAGATGATGAATTCCATGTCTCACGCGCTATCTCAATCCTTCAGGTAATAGAAGGTAAGCTCATAGCTACTCTAAGTAGGCAGGCAGTAATTGACCGATCTACGGACTGACTGAAACACGCATCTGTTGACGGATCGGTTGGTTTAGCTATGTGGCGCCAGCATTCAACGCTCAGGTTGCGACCATGAACCACATGTATCCCATCTACTGGATGACAGCAAGCACTATTTACATGTACTCATCTCCCACATTCATGCCCGCATGATCAAGTGTGTATCTACCCAACCTGTGCTAGACATATGACGAATGTCAAGTCCTTGCTCACTGCCAACAAGATGACCATACAGCACTAGTATAGCCTCAGCGGTTCTTGGGTCTCTCCGCCGCAAGCTATTTACGTGTAAATTCCTGCCTACATTAGGCTGCCTATCTACACATTTGCAAATAGGTGAACAGAAACACAAATGAGGCACAGGAATGCGGCAAAGTCGTCATTAGGTTACATGCAGGTCTATCTACGACTAGGTATGTAGGTACTTTACTTACTACATACACTGCGTGTTAGTCAATATTCTATATACGTGCATCGGCGCTGTCCAGTATTACCCAGCTACACTACACATCAGTTAGTCAGTTTCGGTCGGTCGGTGCAATTAATTACTTTGGGGCTCATCCGCAACGACTGGTTCCAGCGTGGAATACGAGGGCAACGCACGCCTCGAACGGCAGTGGCTGACGAACCAGGATGGCATTCTCGCGTGTCGCAGCAATCTGTCCGTGTGTGCCTACATGATGTGCCGGATCGTCCTGATGCTACCTACACCACACCACATATACCTACATTATCTAGACTACCTAAACTACATTACAGACGCGCATATAGAACATACAGTTACTTTGGCATTACACTACAGCGTTCTTCATCGGCAAGTAGTGAAAATAACGAGCCTCGCGCACCAGACACCGAGTAATCCCAACCATGACAGGGTTCGACACCTGTTGGTTTCTACCCCTCCCTCCAGTCAAGTCGTAGTCGTATCCGGTACCACTAAATGATCCCAGAGAAAGCTTTCCGAGCCACAAAGCTCCGCTCAAGTGATCCAGGTTCGTGCAACAAGACGCCATGATGACGAGGTCACTCCAGTGTCACGAACCAGGTGGTTGTGGGCAGTGAATAGTGAGGTTGATGTTTGTTCTTGGCAGTCAGTCCAGGCAGACGGGAAGTCAGGCACAAGGGAAGTGATTCCTGGATGAACAAGCAGAGCAGTCAGCAATTCACTTACTACCATTCGGCCATCTACCTAGGTATCGTTCACCGAAATCCAGCTATTTGCCCACGTACTCAGGGTACGCGTAGTCAGGCCGGCATATATACAGCAGGCGCTCCAGTGTGGTACAGGCAGATGATCTCCAGCTGCTGTGGGTTCCCGGTATCTGCGACTTTTGCTCTGCCATATGTACACCAGCATGCAATGAAAGCCCCCAAGTGAAACAGGGCTCGGAGAAAATTAGAGCTCAAAACACAGCTTACACGTACCGGGGGGAAAGCCCAGCAGCTAACAATCAACAAACATCGCTTTGGTGCACTGGTGTAGCAGACTGTTGGTTGGTTCGCAAATCGAGCTATTTCGGGAAGAGCTCACGGTGAGGAGGGGAGCGGAGGGGAGGAAAAAAAGAAATCTGAGATAACAAAAAATCAATGTATACGGAGTAGACTTAGTCTAATCCGTGCTTCAAACAGGCCCCGTGAAATATTAGGTGTACATACATACGAGGCATAGAGATCTAAGGTATAACTCTTGATAACCCCCGCGCGGTAGATGGGTTGGCAGATAGCCTTGTTACAGGCTTGTCACAGCGGGTGACTGACATCTCATTATCGTCAACGGTCACTGGTCAGGTTGGTTGGTTGGTTGGTGCCCGCTTGGACATTCCTTCTCGCTAGGACTGCCATCATACGCGAGGACCCGGGTCCCCGGGAGAGTCAGGCAGAGAGAGAGGCTGTGTGTTTGTCATATCTACCGTACTTGCTGTTAAATCGAAGCGTGGACGGGCGTCTGAGGCCATCTAACTGACCGTATGCAGGGCAGCCAGCCAGGCTAATGTGCCTCTCGGCTACCTACCGAAGCAGGCAATATTCGACTGATGTTGCGTGCAAGTGCTGTAAGTAGGTACAACTGCGGGATCAACCTCCAGCATCTACCCCAACCGTTGCGCGCTTCGGCCCGTCTGCTAATGTTAGGTACCTAGGTACTACTATGTAGTCGAGAGCATGGCTGGTCTTGTGTGTACTATTTGAGATTAGTAGGTCAGGTACTTAATCTAAATACAATACAAACTATCGCCCCCATCCTTATCGCTTGAAACTCGCGGTTGGAAGTAATAATAATAAACACCGCCGACTCCCAGAATCATCACAATGCCACAGATAAAGAGAGTTAAATGTCTGCTTATTTGAGCTGTTTATGTACATCTTGTGGGCTATATACGGATATAGGTTAGGTACCGTACCACCTTATTCAGCTTCATGCAGCCTAGCTCTGTATCTCAAAGTAGTCCGTCCGTTACCTATTTGGCTGCTCGGCCCTACGCACTGCGACGCACATCATCAGGGACAGGAACGACGCCGTCTATCCTATCGGTCGAATCAACGGCCCAGTGGCTCTCGGAAGTGTGCCTGATCAGCAAGCTTCCAGAATTTCTCCAGGCCCTTTCGCGCACTGAGACACAGGGTTTCAACAATAATGACAGCAACTGTTCTGGATACCCTACGAGGACCACTCCACGACCATATGAATACGTGATGTAGCTAGATAGATGGCCAACTCTCTTGGGCAAGTAGAAGTGATCATCAGTAACGTAACCCCACACATCCGTTAGTGTGGCTGGGCTTAGCTCGGCGCGCCGTTTTGTCAAGACTTTGCGAACTGCCTCTTACTCTTCTTACCCTGTTACCTAATGTATGCCCAAAGCCTGAAAATCGGACTATGAGCCCAATTAGAAAAACGAGAGCGTACGTGGGCACACCTACTGTAAACCCGGATATATATCTACATGTCTGAAAGGTTACGTTTCAGCTAAAACAGGTGAACGTGCCTCGCGTGCCTCATCAATGCTGGAATGCTATTCACGGCAATTGGGATGACGGGAATAAGCCAACGTGGAAATGAGTCAATGCACGCATTAGGAAGCCCATCGTCATAATCTATGTAGGCACATTCGTATAGGTAGTAGATGAGGCATTGGGTAAGCATGGCATGTGCTTTCTGGCCTATCTCTCCTGATAGTTTGCCGTATACCGGCCGTTCATCACATTACAGAGGACTGCTGTTGGTCTCGGGATTCGGCCTTGCGCTTACGATGAACTTGTTGGGTCAGCAAGCAAAGAAAAAAAGTCCCCCAACTTAGGATTCTTGTGCCTATCTTGGTGAAGTAAAGTAGATCACGATCGTTTTGATAGATTAACCTCGAGATACGCGCCGATTCAGTACAGTGCAATTGCATCGTCTTTTGCTTGTTTTCTTATTTCTTGAAGCTTTTGCAATGCTCAAGTGTAAGCCAAGCAGTTACTTGTAAAGCCCCAGCGAAAGCTTATTCTGTTGGTGACGGTAACTTGGGGTATGAAATTCAAACTGTGATACTGGATGATACGGGGTACATCGTCGTGTCGTACGGGATTTTAAGGCATGCATGTATTTTGAACTTTACCACTGGTAGCGTAAACTCGAGTATTTTCTACATCAACGCCAGCTTGGGTTCTGACCACATCTTAGCAAGAGGCATGTGACACGTTTAACCCCACTTGTGATTCGCCCGTTTCTTGGTGACATGCAGGTATTCGTAACGTTCTTCGTGGACGTTCGATTTGTAAGATTAATCACTATGATGAGAAATAGGTTGGTATTCGAAGACTAGACTTGCGCCATTTCCTGCATCTGTATGTGCGAGCTCGCAATGACTTACTTACGCGCACCTGTATTGTTTTCTTCCGCATGAACCTCATGCAACTACAGTATTGAAATTGACGGCTTTGC